GGTCCAATGTCCAAAATCAAAATACATGGTTAGATTCAGCATATCAAAGAACCCCATATATTCTATTTTTGTTGAAATCAAACAAAGTTTAATTTTGGACCCCAACTTGGACAAACTTGAAACCTGGTCCCATAATCAAAAATCTAAACACATGTTTAGATTCAGCATATCAAAGTACCCCAAGAATTCAATTTTTGTTAAAATCAAACTAAGTTTAATTTTGGACCCTTTGGACCTTAATGTAGACCAATTTAAAAAACGGGACCCAAAATTAAAAATCTAAAAACACGGTTAGATTTGGCATATCAAAGAACCCCAATAATTCAATTTTTGATGAAATCAAACAAAGTTTAATTTTGGACCCTTTTGACCTCAATATGAACCAATTTGATAGCGGGCCCACAAATAAAAAATCTAAATACATGGTAAGATTCAGCATATCAAAGAACCCCATATATTCAATTTTATTTGAAATCAAACAAAGTTTAATTTTGGACCCCAATTTGGACCAACTTGAAAACTGGGCCAAAAATCTAAAATCTAAATACATGTTTAGATTCAGCATATCAAAGAACCCCATATATTCAATTTTTGTTGAAATCAAACAAAGTTTAATTTAGGACCCCAACTTGGACCAACTTAAAACTGGGCCCATAATAAAAAATCTAAACACATGTTTAGATTCAGCATATCAAAGAACCCCAAGAATTCAATTTTTGTTAAAATCAAACTAAGTTTAATTTTAGACCCTTTGGACCTTAATATTGTAGACCAATTTAAAAAACGGGTCCAAAATTAAAAATCTAAAAACACGGTTAGATTTGGCATATCAAAAAACCCCAATAATTCAATTTTTGATGAAATCAAACAAAGTTTAATTTTGGACCCTTTTGACTTCAATATGAACCAATTTGATAGCAGGGTCCACAAATAAAAATCTAAATACATCGTTAGATTCAGCATATCAAAGAACCCCATATATTCATTTTTTGTTGAAATCAAACAAAGTTTAATTTTGGACCCCAATTTGGACCAACTTGAAAACTGGGCCAAAAATCAAAAATCTAAATACATGTTTAGATTCAGCATATCAAAGAACCCCATATATTCAATTTTTGTTAAAATCAAACAAAGTTTAATTTTGGACCCTTTGGACCTTTATGTAGACCAATTTGAAAACTGGACCCAAAATTAAAAATCTAAATACACGGTTAGATTCGGCATAACAAATAAATAAATGTGGTCAAAGATTTTACAAATCTAATGCGCCATACTGTGCAATTAAAGATTACTTCTTGAAATTTTTCAATATTTGAAATTTGAAAAAAAAATAATATTTGAAGAATAATTCTTTTTAATTTCTGAAATCTGAAATGAGAAAAAATTGACCCCCCACAATTTCTTTTTACCCCCCCCCCCCCTTTTTTCCCCCAAAAAATTCTTTTCCTCAAGATATGGTCATAATCTCAATTCAAATTTCCAATGGAGTTTGCAACCATAATTACCCATTTAAATTTACCATAGTGCTAACTTAATCTATTTTATAATAGAATTTAAAATATAGTGTCAAATCTTCTTATGGATTTTTTTGTAAAAAAAAAAGATGCAACATTTACAGATATTTTTACTGGTCTTCCTTTATAAATATGCATTTCTTTAAACATAATTTAAAAGCAGTGTAAGGGAAGTAACCAAAACGTTGTATTTGGATTACCTCCCTTACACTGTTTTAAATTATCTTAATTGTTCATTAACCATTACTTTATACATAATTTAAAAGCAGTGTAAGGGAGATAATTTCAATGATGTATTTGATTTATCTCCCTTACACTGCTTTAAATTATGTTTTGTACTAAAGTATTTGTCCATTAACCAGGACAACCTTGTTTTTCCCCCTTTTTTGCCCCTAATTCTTAAACGGTTTGAGCCATAACCCCCCAAAGCAAATCCTAACCATCCCTTTGTGGTATGGAAACTTGTAGTATAATTTCAGAGAGATCCATACACCATTCCACAGTTATTGTCTGGAAACTAGAAAATGCTTATTTTTGGCCCCTTTTTGGCCCCTAATTCCTTAACTATTGGTACCATAACCCCCAAAATCAATCCCCACCTTCCTTTTGTGGTATTGAACCTTATGGTAAAATTTCATAGAGATCCATTCACTTAAACTAAAGTTAGAGTGCAAAAACTAATGCGTCTTCGGACGATGATGCCGGACAACGACGACGACGACGACGCCAACGTCATACCAATATACGACCACAAAATTTTGTTTGCGGTCGTATAAAAATCAACATCAAAATCCAAAAAAGTTTCTAAATTTCTGAAACAGAAATTGTATAAATCGACTTTTATATATCTTGATCCAGCAAATTGCCTTTAAACTGTTCCAGTTTTTCTGTATTCAGAATAAACTTGGAGGTGTAAAAACAACCATATTTGTAAAAAATTTGTAAGGGTTCCGCGGAACCCAGTGTCTCGCCTACTTTTTCTGTTAATCGCAGGCTCAACAAAAATGAGGAAGTAAATCAATAAAAATATACCTCTTGATACTATCTTTTGATTGTAAGAAGCTTCTGTCCAAGTTTGGTAAAAATCCAGGATAGTTTAAGAATCTAATAAATGTTTAAAAACTTTAACTGTAGACTAAATGTAATGTTAACTGGAAAAAAACAAAATTTCCTTCTAGATACTAGCATTTGATCATAAACAAGCTTCTGTCCAAGTTTGGTTCAAATCCAAAATAGTATAAGAAAGTTATTCAAATTTTAAAAACTTTAACCACAGAGTGAATATGTTGTTTCCCAGCAGAAAATCTAAGTCCATTTAAAAGTAAAATAAGGAAAAAATGGATTTATTTTTTTACAAAATTTACTTCTAGATACTATCTTATGATCATAAACAAGCTTCTGTCCAAGTTTGGTACAATACTAAATCAATCTCAAGGGTTAAGCTGGGCCGTAAGGAATCCCTGGAATTGTCTGGTACCAACAATAAAACCTTTTCTTACATGTGTAGGATGTATACATTAATAGCAGCCGCCTCTGGTCGGAGGATTTTAAATCCAGTACCTCGCGTATTCAGGATGAATGTTACGATCTCTGATGTTAAATAACACTTGCGACAACTCTTTGATGGGATATGCATGATATATTTGCCACTGAACATTAAACTACCAACACACGATACACCAAAACTTTAATCCGCATGATCTACAAATGTCTTCAGTCTTGTGAGTATAAAACGACACGTTGCAACACTGACTCACGTTTATACATCTTATGAAGGTGAATGTAATGATGGACATACAGGAGAAAAGTATGTCTCTTAATCTAAAATATCTAAAAACAAGAGACTTTTGAAATTCGAAATAGTTTCTAAGTCATCTGAAGCAACAAATGGTCGGATTTTTTTTAAAAAACATATTTCGGTAGAAGCGAAGAAAAAACCCGTCTTTTGCTTATACATCACCGTATATAGCTTCCTTGATGGCGTAAATAACAGAGACATAATTCTTCAAAACAAAATTCTATTAAAAAAAAAAGGCAATTATGACTATATTTTGACAAAAACAACTACATGTATATCTTTTAAATAGACGATACATTTTTTTGTCCGACACGGCAGATTTCATAGTTCTCATTTGCCTTTTCGCGATGAAAAATGGTACCAATGTATTCGTTTATAAAATTTTGTATCATTTTCTAATTGTTGATTTAATATGAAGTTAAATTACTGGCAATAAGAAACCACCGCACTTAGTCGGCTCACTTTATTTACAACAAACTGATAATTAATCAAACACTCAAGGAGACTAATTAACAGCTATTTGTTTGATGATAATATGTTTACCCATGATTCCATAGTTATAAAACGAGATTTGGGAGGACCACCTATGGGGCTTTCCACTGATAAGGGGGACATCGTGATCGCCTTACTATATAGTACAGCTTGCACACTTCATCTAGTAATGGACTTCTGAATATACTGATAGAAGAAAATAAACATTTGTTCAAGAAAAGAGTCTACATAGAATAACATGTTAAAATATTTACATTATTAATTATAGTTATTAATCATAAAGTATACACAAGTGTTTGGATTTAATTTTTTTTTTTGGGGGGGGGGGGGGATATAACGTAAAAAAAATCACTATAAATTCATTACAAGAGTGCTACTATAAAATACAACAACATTTGAAACTTTATTTAACAATTAAACAACAAATAATCAACTAATTAATTGACTTTTTCTATATATTTTTTTGTGTTTTAATAGTGTATAAACTTTCTTGTTGTTAAATTTGTCTTCTTGTCGCTAATTTTTTCTTCTCATCTCTAATTATTATTCCTTCTTGTCGCTAATTAGTGAAACTGTAAATGGGATATATAACTGATTTGGATGAGTGATCTCTTTATGAGATTTTGAGTCCAGAGAGATTTTCTTATTTGACTGCCCACTGAGCAGAAAAGGATAAGGGTGATTCCTACCTGTATTAGTGTTAAAAAATGAGGTTGACATTCTTTACACACACATATTTTTTTAAAAGACATGCCTATTTTTATATGGTGTGCATTTTAGCTTTCAGCAGCCTTTTATCACTTGTGTTATTTTAGTGCTTGCATTATAATTATGATATTCGCTTATGCTGATTAATTGCATTTGTACACTCTAACCTTAAATAAATCTCTGCATCATCTGATTTGACTCAAAACACAAAATGGCAACCATTCATTAAAAACGAAAGTATAATGATGTAAAATCGAAAGTAGATATGCAATATTTTTTAATATTTTTTGTTCATATTAAACAAAATAGACAAAACTGTTAAAAATATTCGTTTTCACATTTCAAACCAGTTATTCATTTCTGAATATATTTCTATGTGTAATCAAGGAATTGTATATATATATACAATTCCTTGGTGTAATCACTACTAATAGACTGGAAATCACCTACGCTAAATATAGAGATAGATGCGTGGTTGTTTTAAAAGATCTAGAACAGTCTTTGACAGTATGGTTGGCATTTGAAAGGTAAGGTTTACGGTTTTGAATTAATGCCAATGGACACGTGTAATTGATTATCCATTGATGAATTACATGGCTATCTTAAAAAATGTTTATCTTCACTTACTGATTTAAAAATTAACATTTAGTCTTCAACAGATCGAACCGGCATGGCCATGTGATGTGCAGTGCGATCAGTGTCTCATGGAATCATTTTCAAGTCAATGTCTCTGATAACAATAACAGTAGTTTATACATGCTGCTTTTTTTCCCTCGTATAGAGGTACAGCATGTATAAATAGTTATACACTACTATTCCAAGTGCAATAAGGTATTACATATGTTTCTGATATTTCACTTCAAGTCACTGAAATTTCCAATAATCATGATAGTACATGAATTTGAATTTTCAATGTTCCAATGATCAGTAATTATGTAGTCCTGCAATAATTATGACATGTTGGAAGACTATTTATATTTTTTGCTTTGAGGCTTTTAGATTTTCCTCATTTCAAATTGACTGACATTGTCACAAAATAGAAGTTAATTCATTCATAATATAAGTTCCAAATGGAAACAATATTCTGGAATATTATTTCCACTGGAATAAATATTACAGTAAATGTTCCTAACGGAATAAATGGTATAGAATATTTGTTCCAACAGGAACAGATATTATGACATTGTTTATAACAAAGTTTCCAGTGGAACTTCTGTTAGGCGGAACAAATATACGTTGACAACATTAGTCTTAAATACATGATTTTTTTTATTGGTTGTTATTGGCTTTGAACTAGCTGTCAGTTACAGTGAGTTCTCTCAGATCTGTATTTCGTGTCTTTTTTGTTGTTAGGGATGAGGGATAGATTATATACCCTGCCATAATATTAAAGGTTAAAAAAATGTCATTATGTGTAAAGATTTATTATTTTTATTTCATGGATTTTTAGGGCAATGAATGCTTTTTGGTATGTTTTCTGCTCAACATGTTTGCTCAGTCACTGTATGGTATGTTTTCCTATCAATTGTGGTGATGGCTATATACAAAGATATCTTCGGACAAAACAGACAGAAAGTCACTATATTTGCTGCAGAATTTTGACAGAGAATTGCCAACTAGGTAATACAGTTAAATATGGTTTTTGTACATGTAAGATGCTTGTGTTAAAACATAAGCAGACAATTCCATCAAAAAAGACAAAAGTTGATACGATTTTTTTGTACGAGATGCACACATCTGTCCAAATTCTGAACTTGGATTAGGGACCTGTAAACTGTTGTAGAGGGCCTGACTTGTACAGGTAAAATGTAACTTGCTAATGCTTTGATAGCAGAAGGTTGATGGTTGATTCTTTAATGCATCTACTAAAGACTTCCAAATTTATAGTTATCATATAATTATAAGGAGTTGTGGTGTGATTGCCAATTATACAACTTTCCACCAGAGACTGAAGGACAAGGATGTAACTATTGGTCACTGTACAGCCGTTAACAATGAGAGAAACCCTATCATACATATAGCAATATAGAAGCTGTAAAAGTCCCTAGCATGTAAAATGTGAAACAATTGAAGAGAGGAAATCTAATGGCCTGATATATGCTAAACATTACAAACACAAAACAAATAGGCAGCAATCAACAGCAACCATGGAAGGACAGGCTCCTGACTTGGAAAAGACACTTAAAGAATGTGGTGTGTTAAATGTTTGTGAGGGCTCAATCCTCCCCTAACCTGAGACAGTGATGTAATAGCACAACATAAGAACACACTATATAAATCAGTTGGAAAAGACTTGATTCATCAGAGTCTTAAGCTTGTTTAACATCAACTCATTCTATAAAATGATGATATAAGCACTATTTTGAGAGCGATCACCCCCTATATGTTTGCTAAACACTGTATTCTATAGAAAGAAATGAAATCTGAAAAAAAACACAGTTTTATAGATGTTAATTCAGTAACTGCCACATTCAATTTATATTACAAATTGTTGTTTTGTTCCATGATTCACCTGAAATTATTGTCTTCAATGAGATATTTCATTTTAAATCATATTATCTTACTTGCTAAAACACTTCCAAACATGTGGATAGATAAGATAATTTAAAATCGTAATAAATGCCAGTTTCAGCTTTAGTAAAATAGGTGCATTGAAAAGTTAAATAATTAATTCCAGCCAGCATGTAAGCATAATTCACTGGTGTCAAGGTGATGATCGTAACTGCAATTACGATCATCACAATATGGCGGACACAAATTCAGGTAATTCTTATAATGCTGATTTCTCCACCATAGAAGCTTTTATTTAGATTTGTATTATGTCAAGAAACATCTTTATAAGCATTTTTATTGAATGTTTTTTTTCCTAAATGATGGAAAAGCAACCAGAAGAACGAAAATAGAGATACAAAAAAACATGATGATTATCGTAACTTTGTCTATGAATGATCGTAACTAAAAATTTACAATGTGTTTCTTCTTTAAATGAACATTCTATTTAGCAGTCACGATATATTAATATCACTGAAAGTAGTAAGATTTTATAACTGAACAAAATGAGCGTTAATGAACACCACAATTTGTCAAAAAGAAATGACATAAGGGGGAATTAGCCAGCTTATTTGCAAATGTTATCAATATTTTTTTCTGATGAGTAGTTTACTTAATTAACATTCAAAATGGAATACGTTTATATGAAGATAATATCATCCTCATGATACAGTTTAAGATTGCAGGGCAAAACTTTCACTGAATATTATAAAACATTTTAGAAATAAGTAATGGTAAGACTTGAAGTTACATTATTTTGATGTGTTTCCCTCGGTTTGAGCTTGTTTTCCCAAAATTATCAGGTTCTCGAAATGTACTATTGTCCCATCAAAGTGTATGTGTGTGTTGGTGAAAAAGGGGGTGGGGGAGTAATTGGTACTTCGATTTTTTTTTTGTAGGGATGTGCCACTTCTGCCTTAAAAATGTACCCATTTTTATATAGCTTTCACTTTAATTTGGTATCAATACTTAGATAAATACATGTATTTAAAAAGAATGACCTTTACTTATGTAGAATATTGTGATTTAATACCCACACCCAAAAAATGACATTTACAGTTTGTTCCACAGACAAAAAAATCTCAAATGTTACCAAACTGGCCATTAATATGAAATGTCCAATACCTTATTTATATAAGATATATGAAATCAATATAAAGTTGTTAACCCCAATGCATTTTAATATAGAATTAGATTAAAAAGTTACAAAATCTCGCAAAATCATGACCCATATTAGTGCACTTACCCGTATACCAATCAGTAGGATGTTACCCTCCCCTCCAGTGATCATCCCTCATTATTATCACAATGTTGGCTGATTACGCACCCTTTTTTGCATACCAGACAGCTATATTTATCAGGAAATGCTTCATTGGAACAGACAGCTACGATCATAAGTAAAAGTTACGATCATCGTTGATAAAAATAAATAAAAGTTACGATCATCATCATGTTTTTTTTATCTCGATTTTCGTTCTTCTGGTTGCTTTTCCATCATTTAGGAAAAAAACATTCAATAGCAATGCTTATAAAGATGTTTCTTGACATAATACAAATCTGAAAATAAGCTATTAAAGCCTTTGTTAGTCTTGTATTATTTTTAATTTTAGTTTCTTGTGTACAATTTGGAGTTTAGTATGGCGTTCATTATCACTGAACTAGTATATATATTTGTTTAGGGGCCAGCTGAAGGACGCCTCCAGGTGCGGGAATTTCTCGCTGCATTGAAGACCTGTTGGTGACCTTCTGCTGTTGTCTGTTCTATGGTCGGGTTGTTGTCTCTTTGACACATTCCCCATTTCCATTCTCAATTTTATTAAAGTGGTGAAATCGGCCTTATAAAATTAACCTGAATTTGTGTCCGCCATATTGGGATGATCGTAATTGCAGTTACAATCATCATGTTGACACCAGTGATAATTATGAAATAGACATACAATATGAATGATAATTTTGATACAGATTGGTGGGGAGGGTCTTCTCTTATTTTCTTATGGAGATATATTTATGGTTAATGCATATAGACTTTTTACCTACCGGTATTCCTAACAATGCCCCTTTTACAAAATCCTTGATCTGCCCCTGATTTTCATGATTTTGGTGTTTCTTCATAAAATTACATAGTTTTCTCATTGATTTTTAACACATTCACTATGAGCTTTTTACATTATCGGTATATTACAAAATATCAACACATGAAACTGTTTTGTTATTTATATTTTTACAGGAAAAAAATGCATAATAATGGAGTTATGATTTAATCAAACTAAACTATAAATTTGTAGGATTTCAATTCCAACAATAATTTGATTATGCTTTTGTTTCTTTATTTATAGGTTACAGAGTAAAGAAATGTACAGAAAATTTAGGAACAGATTCCTGTGAAAAATGTCCCAAAGGACAGTATTTAGCAGATCGAACAAATTCAACTAATATACACCCTTGTGTTCATTACAGTTGCTCATTAGGTAATGTATTTAAAACAAAAAATTATAAGTTTAAATTTAAAATTTGAATGATTTCAAATTTCTGACCAGTTGAACAATTTGATTTGATAAAACAAATTACAATTGGGTCAGAACTTTGAATGAACAGCAATTTATGGAGAAAAGCACTCATAGTCAAATGCAATTTCAAGGTCTTTGAATGAACTGCATTCGTAGTAGTAAATAATGAATGAAAAACTGTTAACTTGTACATATAACCTTGTTTTATGATAAATGTTTAGACAAATTGAAAGTATTGGCCACTGGTCAAACCATATAATTATTAAAAAACAAGGAATTATTTGAATCTAGAATAATTTTGATTTCTAGAAAATTCGAAAAAAATTATGATAAAAACTAACCCAACTTTAGTGGGTTAGCCATGGCATGGCTAAGGTTCAAGTTACTATCACTGATAATTTATTTTAGTATGAACTAACTACCTGGACAAACAAAATCTCACCAGATTCCTAAGTTTAAAGACTCATAACTCTACAAAAGTCAACTGATAAAATTTTCTTGTGGATATGCACAGTAGTTGCGATGACAAACTGTTGCAGTAGTATATTGAGGCCAATAAGTTCAAAGGGGCATAACTCCTAGAAAAAAAATTGAATCGTAATTTCCTGTCGATATGCACATCTGCATAGTATGTCCTTATTATCACAAAGTTTCATAAAATTCTGTTGTGTGGTTTCAGAGGAGTTGCCATGACAAACTGTTGCAGTAGTATATTGAGGCCAATAAGTTCAAAGGGGCATTACTCCTAGAAAAAAAATTGAATCATAATTTCCTGTCGATATGCACATCTACATAGTATGTCCTTATTATCTACAAAGTTTCATGAAATTCTGTTGTGTGGTTTCAGAGGAGTTGCGATGACAAGAACAGGACTGACGGACGGACAGACAGACCGACGGGTCAAAAACATTATGCCCTTCGCAACTACTTTGCCTGGGGTATAATAATTCCTTGTTTAAAGTTAATACTGTATTTACTTATTGTAGTGGTTATTTCATTATATAGGATAAACAAACTCATAATAAGAGACAAACTGACAATGCCATGGCAAAAATACAAAAACTACCAACAGACAAACATCAGTCTACAAAACACAACATAGAAAAGTAAAGAATGAGCAACAAAAATCCCAACAATAAACTCAGGTACTATGGAAGGGCAAGCATTTCCTGCTCCACATGTGGCATCCACAAATAGATCTAGAGTTTGGGAATTCAGAATAGTGTTAATTTAAATTCTGTTGAAAAATCAATAAAAAAAATATACATACAAAACATTTTCTGTTTCACAGTATTTAGAAAAAAGCAACAGATAAATTCAACAAGTTAATGAATTCTCCTGTGAATCTACATTAATTCTGTACAAAAAATGAATTATCTCCCCTTTTCTGATAAAACTTATAGATCAACTTGAAAAAAAGTCACTTACATTTACAAATTAGTCAATTGTATTTAAACTTATTATAAATGCCATCTTTTTGAATCCAGAGTTTTTCCTAAGTTGCCTATGGATTAGAAACTTTTCAGACTCTTGAAATTTCAAAAGGGGAGATTATCCAATAAATTAAAAAAAAACTGACAGTGCTTGTACATTTATACCTTATTCCATTTCCACTAAAATAAAATTATATCCGTCTAAGGAATTGTTTAAATGAATTGAAATTGTCCTACAAAAATATACAATATTATACATCAAAATTGAGAGAGACCATTTCTTGACTTAAAATTTAAAAAACCTAAAAGAATTAAAAGTAATTTCAATGAATTGTGTGAGTTTTAAAAAAGGTTATTTTTCTTATTTGAATTTATTTCGTATTTTATCATGGGGCAGCCTTTTATAGCCACCTAAAGGTATGAGTTTTACTCATTGTTGAAGGCAATAGGATACATATAATTGGCAATCATACCACATCTCCTTATATTAATCTAACATCAATGATCAACACATGATCCAAATAGCCAAACTTAGTGGTACAGACACAAAATATGATGACAAATCGACCAAATGCAGGTGCACGTATACATGTACCTGTATAAGAATTTGATTGATTATGAAACATTCAAAAACCAAATAAAAGATCTTGGTCTGTTTTGTAAGGTTCTTATAACAAGTCAATTTGCAGACAGTTAATGACTTTTCGTAGAGATTTTTTAAACCCAAAATAGGTTAACAGATGTATTGATATTCATTTCCTTAAGGATGATTTCTATCTGACTCAGCTTATATCTATTTAATTTTTCAGAATCAAAACAAGTAGACTACTTAACACAGACAGGGTGTCATAAACCCTGTATATGTAATACAGACTTAAACTTTTATGGTTTTGATAGTTGTAATTGTTCTCCTTTTAATGGAGAATGTATACCTGGAACAGTATTAGCTCTAAATGGATCCTGTCTTACAGCTGAGTAAGTAACACATAGGTCTTTATTTGTGGTAAAATATATTTTCAATTTGATAACCAGTTTCCAGTTGAGATGATAGAATAGATGGATTGCCGCCTTTCCCTTTACTATCGACATGTTCCATAGTTCCTACACAGCTTACTTTCAAACTTCAGGTCCTTGGTTTTTTTCTCTTCTTACTTTGATTTTTAACAGCAGCATTGCTGTAGCATAAAAAGGAAGATATAGACAAATTATAAGTTAATCATTTAATGAAAAAAGTTGAAGCCATTGAAAAAAATTCTTGTTTGATTCCATGAATGAGTAGTGAAATATATTGCTAAATACTGTGGATTCATTTTTTTTCGTGGGTACCAATTTTTATTGGTCAAGGACAAATTGTATTGTCGTGGGTACTTTATATTTTGTGGTTTGAAATAATTTTTCATTCAAGCCTTTAGGAAATTTGTATTTGGATTTGTGGTTCGTCTTAAGGTGGTACCAAACACCTTGACTAAAATTAATTTGGCTCGTGTAATTTTCATAAAATTTTGACAAAATATTTACTTTGACCCTTTGACAAAAATATAAAAAATTCAAAAAACTTGAACCACACACTTTATCGGGAAAATTGCCTTGGATATATATATATATATATAGCAGTTTGACAAACACTAATTTTGATCATTGAGAACCTTAATATATCCTTACCAATAGAATGTGATTAAAACATTCAGCTGAATTTTACAGAGTTATCTCCCTGTAGTGTTATGTACCACCTTAGCCCATGAAATTCATGCAAACTAGAACATGAACCCTGAACAAAATGAATCCACAGTATTTTAATTTTGCAAAAAGATCTGTAAGTACTGTACTTTATAACATATTTGAAAGCAGTTATAACAACAACACTTAAGGGATTGCTGCAGTAATTTAATGAGATTGACATGTTTCTGTGCCTAGGGCACCATCATCAGACCCCAAAACATGTTGATCAAATCCCTGAAATGTTGTTATAACTGCATTCACATTTTGTGTTTTTTGTCGTAAAAACCCTGCATACCCGAGGTATTCATAGCATTGAAGATTTACCAGGCGTTGGTTCACTGTCGCTTATATTTTAAAAATATATGTATATATTCAAATTGAGGATTTTTCTCCTTAACATTATAAAAGATTGCATCTAAAATTTTATATTTAGGGAAGCAGAAGTAGTAGAAAGTTTAACAAAACCAATTAATCCAGTAATTATTCCTATATTAGAAGAGGAAACTACAGGTATGTTTCTTACTTTTAATTGGAATTCTAAAAGATATGATAGTAAATAGCTAGCTCAAATACAAACATAAAGGGCACCATGTGATGGACAAGCACCCACATGAATGCATATCTTTTTAAAACTCTTCACTGGGGGATCCAGGGAGGGTTCTGGGGGTTGAAACCCCCCCCCCCTTTTTTTTTGACGATCAATGCTTTTGAATGTGGACATATGGTTGGAAACCCCACCCTTTTAAAAATAGCTGGATCTGCCCCTGCTCTTAATTTCCCAAAATCTAAACATCATTACAATTTGAAAGGATACCTATAAAGACTTATTAGTGTTACTTCCATGCAGAAGCAGTTCTTTGTTTTAATTGAAACTTAAATAACAGTTGGATGGATTGATAAACAATTTATAAGCGGTATCTGTTTTTATACGCCCGTTTACGGGACGTATTATGGTATACCGCTGACCGTCTGTCCGTCCGTCCGTCGTCAACATGTCGGACATTAATTCAAAATTGCTTTAACCAATATGCATGAAACTTTGGTGAATTGTTTATATCTATTGACGTGAGCTCCCTTTCTTTTTTTATAAATTTCAGATTTACCATTTCCGAGTTTTGGGGTTTTATTCATTGAAAAAGGGGGGATTTTCCAGTTTTCGGACAATAACTCAAAAACAAATTCACCAATTTCCATGAAACTTTTGTGAATTGTTCATATCTATTAACGTGAGCCTCCTTTCGTTTTTTATAAATTTCGAATTTACCGCTTCCGAGTTTTGGGGTTTTATTCATTAAAAAAGGGGGGATTTTCCAGTTTTCAGACAGTAACTCAAAAACAAATTCACCAATTTCCATGAAACTTTTGTGAATTGTTCATATCTATTTACGTGAGCTCCCTTTCATTTTATATAAATTTCGGATTTACCGTTTCCAAGTTTTGGGGTTTTATTCATTAAAAAAGGGGGGATTTCCAGTTTTCAGACAATAACTCAAAAACAATTTCACCAATTTGCAAGAAACTTTGGTGAATTGTTTTATTTCTATTGACATGAGCTCCCTTTTGATTTTTATACGACCGCAAAAATTGAAAATTTTTTGGTCGTATATTGGTATGACGTTGTCGTCGTCGTCGTCGTCGTCGTCGTCTGGCGTCGTCCGGCGTCGTCCGAAGACACATTGGTTTTCGCACTCTAACTTTAGTTAAAGTGAATGGATCTCCATGAAATTTTACCATAAGGTTCAATACCACGAAAGGAAGGTTGGGATTGATTTTGGGGGTTATGGTACCAACAGTTAAGGAATTAGGGGCCAAAAAGGGGCCAAAAATAAGCATTTTTGTAACTTCCAGACAATAACTTGTGTGTAAGTGTATGGATCTCTCTGACATTGTACCACAAGGTTCCATATCACAAAGGGAAGGCTGTAATTGATTTTGGGGGTAATTGCCTCAAAATTTTAGGAATTAGGGGCCAAAAAAGGGGCAAAAAACAAGCATTTTTCTAGTTTCATGACAATAACTTGTGTGTAAGTGTTTGGATATTTCTGAAATTGTACTACAAGGTTCCATATCACAAAGGGAAAGCTGGAATTGAGTTTGTGGGTAATTCCCCGAAACGTTTAGGAATAGGGGGCCAAAAAGGGGCCAAAAATAAGCATTTTTCTAGTTTCCAGACAATAACTTGTGTTCAAGTGTATGGATCTCTCTGAAATTGTTCTGCAAGGTACCATACCACAAAGGGAAGGCTGGGATTGAGTTTGGGGGTGATGAATCATAAGGGGGTTCAAAAAATTTGGGGGGGGGATTTTTTTTTTTCTTTTTTTTTCTTTTTTTCCTTTTTTTTTTCTTTTAAAATTTTCCATTTTAAGTTGGTTATTTCTGATTAATATTTAAAAGCAAATAATAATGATATGGTAGGAGATACACACCAAACAGGATGTGTAAATTATTATATAATAAGTATTGTGCAATAGCAAGAAATTTTCAATTGCACAGTATTGCACAATTGCAAGAAATCTTCAATTGCACAGTATTGCACAATAGCAAGAAATCTTCAATTGCACAGTATTGCGCAATAGCAAGAAATATCCAATAGCACAATATTGCGCAATAGCAAGAAATTGTCAATTGTACAGTATTGCACAATAGCAAGAAATATTCAATTGCACAGTATTGTGCAAAAGAAGATACTTCGTATAAATTGCTTATTTCTTGATCAATTTCAATGGGGTTTTATTCTTGAATTCTTGGGGTTCTTTAATAAGCTGAATTAAACCAAGTATTAAGTTTTTGGATTTTGGGCCCCGTTTTTAAATTGGTCCACATTGAGGTCCAAAGGGTCCAAAATTTAACTTTGTTTGATTTCATCAAAAATTGAATTATTGGGGTTCTTTGATATGCCGAATCTAACCGTGTATTTAGATTCTTAATTTTTGGTTCCGTTTTCAAATTGGTCTACATTAAGGTCAAAAGGGTCCAAAATTAAACTTAGTTTGATTTTAACAAAAATTGAATTTTTAGGGTTCTTTGATATGCTGAATCTAAACATGTATTTAGATTTTAGATTATGGGCCCAGTTTTCAAGTTGGTCCAAATCCGGGTCCAAAATAAAACTTTGTTTGATTTCAACAAAAATTGAATATATGGGGTTCTTTGATATGCTGAATCTAACCATGTATTTAGATTTTTGATTTTTGGGCCCCATTATCAACTTTGTCCACATTGAGGTCAAAAGGGTCCAAAATTAAACTTTGTTTGATTTCATCAAAAATTGAATTCTTGGGGTTCTTTGATATGCTGAATCTAACCATGTATTTAGATTTTTTATTTGTGGACCCGCTATCAAATTGGTTCATATTGAGGTCAAAAGGGTCCAAAATTAAACTTTGTTTGATTTCATCAAAAATTGAATTATTGGGGTTCTTTGATATACCAAATCTAACCATGTATTTAGATTTTTAATATTGGGTCCCATTTTTAAATTGGTCTACATTAAGGTCCAAAGGGTCCAAAATTAAACTTAGTTTGATTTTAACAAAAATTGAATTCTTGGGGTTCTTTGATATGCTGAATCTAAACATGTGTTTAGATTTTTGATTATGGGACCAGTTTTCAAGTTGGTCCAAGTTGGGGTCCAAAATTAAACTTTGTTTGATTTCAACAAAAATTGAATATATGGGGTTCTTTGATATGCTGAATCTAAACATGTATTTAGATTTTAGATTTTTGGCCCAGTTTTCAAGTTGGTCCAAATTGGGGTCCAAAATTAAACTTTGTTTGATTTCAACAAAAATTGAATATATGGGGTTCTTTGATATGCTGAATCTTACCATGTATTTAGATTTTTTATTTGTGGGCCCGCTATCAAATTGGTTCATATTGAGGTCAAAAGGGTCCAAAATTAAACTTTGTTTGATTTCATCAAAAATTTAATTATTGGGGTTCTCTGATATGCCAAATCTAACCGTGTATTTAGATTTTTAATTTTGGGTCCCGTTTTTTAAATTGGTCTACATTAAGGTCCAAAGGGTCCAAAATTAAACTTAGTTTGATTTTAACAAAAATTGAATTTTTGGGGTTCTTTGATATGCTGAATCTAAACATGTGTTTAGATTTTTGATTATGGGACCAGTTTTCAAGTTGGTCCAAGTTGGGGTCCAAAATTAAACTTTGTTTGATTTCAACAAAAATTGAATTTATGGGGTTCTTTGATATGCTGAATCTAAACATGTATTTAGATTTTAGATTTTTGGCCCAGTTTTCAAGTTGGTCCAAATTGGGGTCCAAAATTAAACTTTGTTTGATTTCAACAAAATTGAATATATGGGGTTCTTTGATATGCTGAATCTTACCATGTATTTAGATTTTTTATTTTGTGGGCTTGCTATCAAATTGGTTCATATTGAGGTCAAAAGGGTCCAAAATTAAACTTTGTTTGATTTCATCAAAAATTGAATTATTGGGGTTCTTTGATATGCCAAATCTAACCGCGTTTTTTAGATTTTTAATTTTGGGTCCCGTTTCTTAAATTGGTCTACATAAAGGTCCAAAGGGTCCAAAATTAAACTTAGTTTGATTTTAACAAAAATTGAATTCTTGGGGTACTTTGATATGCTGAATCTAAACATGTGTTTAGATTTTTGATTATGGGACCAGTTTTCAAGTTTGTCCAAGTTGGGGTCCAAAATTAAACTTTGTTTGATTTCAACAAAAATTGAATATATGGGGTTCTTTGATATGCTGAATGTAACCATGTATTTTGATTTTGGACATTGGACCATAATAGGTAAATTAAAAAAATTGAAGTTCTTAGACCACATTCTTTCTGTGTCAGAAACCTATGCTGTGTCAAATATTTAATCACAATCCAAATTCAGAGCTGTATCAAGCTTGAATGTTGTGTCCGTACTTGCCCCAACTGTTCAGGGTTCGACCTCTGCGGTCGTATCAAGCTGCGCCCAGCGAAGCATTTTATTATAAATTTCAGAATATATATTTATGGGGTTTTATTCATTACAAAAAGGGGGATTTTCCTGTTTTCGGACAATAACTCAAAAATGCTTTCAGCATTTTTTATGAGACTTTGGTAAATTTTTTATATCTATTTTTGTAAGCTCCCTTTTGATTTTTATAAATTTTCGATTTTACGTTTCAGAGTTATAAGATTTTATTTGTTTATAGTCTGACAACAGATTTACTAAGTATTGCGCAACTGCACAGTGTATTGCACAACAGCAAGAAATCTTTCATATGACCAATTTCAAGTTCTTTGACTACATTTATTCAGAAACCTATAATATATCAAATATTTAATTACTATCCAAATTCAGACCTGTATCGATCAAGCTTGAATATTGTGTCCATTTTTGCCCCAACTGTTCAGGGTTGGACCTCTGCGGGCGTATCCAGCTGCGCTCAGCGAAGCAGTTTATTACCTTTGACCAACAATGACAGCATAGTAACTCTTGATAGGACCAAGGGATGCTGGAGCCCTATAGTTTTCACTTTGTCTGTCTGTCTGTCTGTCTGTCTGTCTGTCTGTCTGTCTGTCCTTCCACCTGTCTGTCAACAATTTTTGTAAAAACAAAAACTCCCAAAATTATAGATAGGAGGCCAATGCAATTGTGCACAGTTGTTGCACATAAACTGTAGATGTGCATAACATATTTTGGTGAAATTCAGCTAATTAATTTTTGAAAAATCTTACTTGTTTGAAAAATCACAATTTTTATCATTTATTTTGTTACATTTCTTTCTGCTCTAGGATTACAATGAACAATTATATATTGGTATTATATACTATTCCAAATTGATTCCATGTGTAAAATTTGCATTTAAAACTTGTTTTTGGTTTTCGCACTCTAACTTTAGTTTAAGTGAATGGATCTCCATGAAATTTTACCATAATGTTCAATACCACGAAAGGAAGGTTGGGATTGATTTTGGGGGTTATGGTACCAACAGTTAAGGAATTAGGGGCCAAAAAGGGGCCAAAAATAAGCATTTTTGTAACTTCCAGACAATAACTTGTGTGTAAGTGTATGGATCTCTCTGACATTGTACCACAAGGTTCCATATCACAAAGGGAAGGCTGTAATTGATTTTGGGGGTAATTGCCTCAAAATTTTAGGAATTAGGGGCCAAAAAAGGGGCAAAAAACAAGCATTTTTCTAGTTTCATGACAATAACTTGTGTGTAAGTGTTTGGATATTTCTGAAATTGTACTACAAGGTTCCATATCACAAAGGGAAAGCTGGAATTGAGTTTGTGGGTAATTCCCCGAAACGTTTAGGAATAGGGGGCCAAAAAGGGGCCAAAAATAAGCATTTTTCTAGTTTCCAGACAATAACTTGTGTTCAAGTGTATGGATCTCTCTGAAATTGTACTGCAAGGTACCATACCACAAAGGAAAGGCTGGGATTGAGTTTGGGGGTGATGAATCATAAGGGGGTTCAAAAAATTTGGGGGGGGGGGGGATTTTTTTTTTTCTTTTTTTTTCTTTTTTTCCTTTTTTTTTTCTTTTAAAATTTTCCATTTTAAGTTGGTTATTTCTGATTAATATTTAAAAGCAAATAATAATGATATGGTAGGAGATACACACCAAACAGGATGTGTAAATTATTATATAATAAGTATTGTGCAATAGCAAGAAATTTTCAATTGCACAGTATTGCACAATTGCAAGAAATCTTCAATTGCACAGTATTGCACAATAGCAAGAAATCTTCAATTGCACAGTATTGCGCAATAGCAAGAAATATCCAATAGCACAATATTGCGCAATAGCAAGAAATTGTCAATTGTACAGTATTGCACAATAGCAAGAAATATTCAATTGCACAGTATTGTGCAAAAGAAGATACTTCGTATAAATTGCTTATTTCTTGATCAATTTCAATGGGGTTTTATTCTTGAATTCTTGGGGTTCTTTAATAAGCTGAATTAAACCAAGTATTAAGTTTTTGGATTTTGGGCCCCGTTTTTAAATTGGTCCACATTGAGGTCCAAAGGGTCCAAAATTTAACTTTGTTTGATTTCATCAAAAATTGAATTATTGGGGTTCTTTGATATGCCGAATCTAACCGTGTATTTAGATTCTTAATTTTTGGTTCCGTTTTCAAATTGGTCTACATTAAGGTCAAAAGGGTCCAAAATTAAACTTAGTTTGATTTTAACAAAAATTGAATTTTTAGGGTTCTTTGATATGCTGAATCTAAACATGTATTTAGATTTTAGATTATGGGCCCAGTTTTCAAGTTGGTCCAAATCCGGGTCCAAAATAAAACTTTGTTTGATTTCAACAAAAATTGAATATATGGGGTTCTTTGATATGCTGAATCTAACCATGTATTTAGATTTTTGATTTTTGGGCCCCATTATCAACTTTGTCCACATTGAGGTCAAAAGGGTCCAAAATTAAACTTTGTTTGATTTCATCAAAAATTGAATTCTTGGGGTTCTTTGATATGCTGAATCTAACCATGTATTTAGATTTTTTATTTGTGGACCCGCTATCAAATTGGTTCATATTGAGGTCAAAAGGGTCCAAAATTAAACTTTGTTTGATTTCATCAAAAATTGAATTATTGGGGTTCTTTGATATGCCAAATCTAACCGTGTATTTAGATTTTTCATTTTGGGTCCCGTTTTTAAATTGGTCTACATTAAGGTCCAAAGGGTCCAAAATTAAACTTAGTTTGATTTTAACAAAAATTGAATTCTTGGGGTTCTTTGATATGCTGAATCTTCACATGTGTTTAGATTTTTGATTATGGGCCCAGTTTTCAAGTTGGTCCAAGTTGGGGTCCAAAATTAAACTTTGTTTGATTTCAACAAAAATAGAATATATGGGGTTCTTTGATATGCTGAATCTAAACATGTATTTAGATTTTAGATTTTTGGCCCAGTTTTCAAGTTGGTCCAAATTGGGGTCCAAAATTAAACTTTAATTGTTTGATTTCAACAAAAATTGAATATATGGGGTTCTTTGATATGCTGAATCTTACCATGTATTTAGATTTTTTATTTGTGGGCCTGCTATCAAATTGGTTCATATTGAGGTCAAAAGGGTCCAAAATTAAACTTTGTTTGATTTCATCAAAAATTGAATTATTGGGGTTCTTTGATATGCCAAATCTAACCGTTTATTTAGATTTTTAATTTTGGGTCCCGTTTTTTAAATTGGTCTACATTAAGGTCCAAAGGGTCCAAAATTAAACTTAGTTTGATTTTAACAAAAATTGAATTTTTGGGGTTCTTTGATATGCTGAATCTAAACATGTGTTTAGATTTTTGATTATGGGACCAGTTTTCAAGTTGGTCCAAGTTGGGGTCCAAAATTAAACTTTGTTTGATTTCAACAAAAATTGAATATATGGGGTTCTTTGATATGCTGAATCTAAACATGTATTTAGATTTTAGATTTTTGGCCCAGTTTTCAAGTTGGTCCAAATTGGGGTCCAAAATTAAACTTTGTTTGATTGTAACAAAAATTGAATATATGGGGTTCTTTGATATGCTGAATCTTACCATGTATTTAGATTTTTTATTTTGTGGGCCCACTATCAAATTGGTTCATATTGAGGTCAAAAGGGTCCAAAATTAAACTTTGTTTGATTTCATAAAAAATTGAATTATTGGGGTTCTTTGATATGCCAAATCTAACCGTGTTTTTAGATTTGTAATTTTGGGTCCCGTTTTTTAAATTGGTCTACATTAAGGTCCAAAGGGTCCAAAATTAAACTTAGTTTGATTTTAACAAAAATTGAATTCTTGGGGTACTTTGATATGCTGAATCTAAACATGTGTTTAGATTTTTGATTATGGGACCAGTTTTCAAGTTTGTCCAAGTTGGGGTCCAAAATTAAACTTTGTTTGATTTCAACAAAAATTGAATATATGGGGTTCTTTGATATGCTGAATCTAACCATGTATTTTGATTTTGGGCATTGGACCATAATAGGTAAATTAAAAAAATTGAAATTCTTAGACCACATTCTTTCTGTGTCAGAAACCTATGCTGTGTCAAATATTTAATCACAATCCAAATTCAGAGCTGTATCAAGCTTGAATGTTGTGTCCATACTTGCCCCAACTGTTCAGGGTTCGACCTCTGCGGTCGTATCAAGCTGCGCCCAGCGAAGCATTTTATTCAAATTTGTGCCAAAGTATATAAATTCAATCTTGCATTGCTTTGTTTGCATCAGTATAAATTATTTGCTCCTGTGCCTCACACAGAAATATATACATGCTGATATAAACCTGTGATATAAATTTCATAAAAATCTGGCAAGAATTGTACACATGAGAGCACTTACAATGCAATTTTCCATATAATTAATATTTCCAAGGGGCATAACTCTTTTAAAAATTGTTGTTTGGCACTGATTTTCAAATTGTCCAAGACAATGATGATATAAATCTATGATGTAAGTTTTATAAAAATCTTGCAAGAATTGTACATGTGAGAGCGCTAACAAGACTGGATGGACAGTATTTCTATGTCCCCCTGCAACATGTCGTGCAGGGAACAAATTAAGCAGTGAAAATAAACATTAAAATAGCATATGTTTGCCAGATGAAGCATCAGGCTTTAATCGAAAGAGAAAGACTCTGCTGATTTATAGCATATTCACATCTTTAATATTTTATTGTCTTTTACTTACTAGGTAATAAAACAGTAGATAACAAATCAAAAGATGGCAGCTTTAAAGACAAGCGGTAAGGTACTTTCTATTAAAATCTGTATTGATTGAAAGGTATTAAGAACTGGTATGCATGCATTTTCATTAGCTATTAAACCAAGATTTCCAAGTGGTGAAGATGAATTCATCCCTTCGAAACGTTTACTAACATATATACATAATATTTACAAACTTTCATTACATTCACAGGAACTTTATCAGTAGACCTAAATCCCTGTGTTATATTCAATGAGCATTACTGCGAATAGTTTGAGATAAAGGTTATTATTACATTGGTTGCAATGAATTACCGTGATTTCCCAGTGAAATAAAAAACCGATAATTTCACATTTGAAATAAACTGGGTTATTTCACTCCTCTGACGTCACACAACAATAGGAGGTGTCAAAACGTTGTCGATGATGTCGCATCAAAGCAAATTGTGAATGCGTAGAAAAAGATATAGTTCCTACATTTTCTACTTTAATTCCATTAAAAAGCCCATTGTCAATGTAATAAAAAGAATAACTAATCAAAGAACTCAAATATGGAAAAATTTTCCACTCGTGACCAAACAACACCGAACAACACTGATGAGACAGCAAGCCAACAACAAAAATAAATTATAGATATTGAGGGATCGTCATGCAGTCTTCGCCAAACATTAAAGATATGACACAAGACAATCACTGTCGAGGTTCCTGCCTTGGAACAGGCACATGAATATGTGGCCTGCTGCATATATATCAGGAAATGTATGATAGATATTTTTATTTTTATTTTTTAAGGTGGATAATTACAGGTTGTAGTTTAGGAGCTTTGGTTGTGATATTTGTTATAGTTTGTTGTCGTATCTATCGATATAAAAAAAGTCGTCATAAAGAACCGAGCTTTATAGGAGGTAAGATAGTTTCAGTCTAAAGGAGAGGGTCTGGTAAGGGCTAGTTTTGGCCTAGAATTCGAAGTACATATGATGAAAAAATTTTGACATTTTTTTAACACTTACTTGTCTTCAGTCGATTCAATTAGTTTATGTAAAAGATTTGAACTAATTTGGTCATTAAAGGTTCTCAAATTCAAGCTTAAATATGAAAAATCTATTAAATATGCCATAAAACATTACTTTTCAGATGGTTTTTGTCTAAAATGAAGTGCCACATTCAGGTTCAGTCTCAACCTTTAAATATGTTATGTATTATCATCAAATACAACATTTATTTTAATATTAAGACTGAACACAAATGGGGCCACTTCCATTTTAGACAAAAACTGTCTTGAAATTAGCACATGCTAAAATTGTGAAGATTTCAGTAATATTGCATGACTTTATGATGCTAGCACCTGATGCATGTGTATTGCATTGTCAAAAAACAGCCCATACTTATGGAACAAAAGTATTCTACTTTCCAATAAATAGCTAAAAGTTTACATTTCAACAAATTTGTAAAAATGCTATATTTTGGGGCCAAAAAGGGGTCTTACCGGGCCTACTCCTTTGCATCAATCAAACTTTCTTTCAAATTAATTTTTTTATTAATGATATTTACTACTTTGATTTGAATAAATTCAACTTCTGTCATTCTTGATTAACTCTATTTAATAAACTGAAAGTAAATAGAGATTTTGTTAATTAATTGGTTGCCTTTTGTTAAACTTTTGGAAATATCGAAATTATTTTATTGACATAGAGCATAATCAGAATAGTCATAACTTTGAAGCACTAAACACTATGCAAAAATAGTGACAGCTGACAACAGGAAATTTTTCATCTCTTAAATATACTTTCCTCTGAAGTTTTGCTATTTATTTTTTTAAAAAAATCAAATATCATGTGGCATAGATTGACTTGTATCAGAGTAGATCTCTCTAACTTGGTGTCTATAACTATCTTTGATCGTCTGTTGCATTCATTCAAAAGTTGTCTAGATTTTGGACATTATTCCATTAGGCGCTATCGTTTGTTTTTGATATGATACCCTGTAGATGTCTATTTTTGGTATTTCTGTGCTGTTAGGTTGATTTTTTTTTTGTTTTTACTAACAATTCATAAGGATTATAAGGTATGCATGACAAAAACTGTAAACAGCAACAAACAGTGTGATTAATAGTTTGGTCTACAGGCTGAGAGATTTTCACACCTATTGTTTTATTTGTACGGTACCATATGAGATATCTTAAACTTGCACTAAATTTGAAAAGCTTATGGCTTTCGGGGTATATAACCCAATTTTCGAACCATTAAATTCAGTGAAATTAAAGTTCATAGAAACATTAGATGACTTGAAAGTTTTAACATTATTATTCTATGGTCTTTTTTTTTTTACACTTGTATCTGCCAATTCTAAAAAATTGCAACATGTTTAGTTACATGGTCAGTATAGTGATATTCTCCTTGCTAAGACAAAACATTAAAATAAGAAGCCTGTACTGTAAGCCTGTGTGATCTGATTTACTGCTTATATATTGACAATCAAATTCATATTGCTTGTCTTCCAGATCCCAAAATTACAGATGAAGAAAATGAAATGCCAGAAGTTAATATTACAGAAAATCTTGCAGCAGTTACCCGTCCAGTGATTAAAAAGTCTTCCATTGTAACCATATCTTCCGATTCAGGGGTTTCTTCTGCTCAAACAAACTCCAAAGAATCTATAAGCGCAGATTCTGATAGGTCTTCCAGAAAAGTGGCAGCAGTACATCCATATCACCATAGTGAAGGTAAATTTAATTATTTACAAAATCTAATGCTAAATCAGGACTCAGTGGTCAACATTTTAGGTAAAATTATCCAAATAGACCAATGTTGAGTTCTTTTTTATACAACCGCAAAAAAATTTTTGGGATTGTATGAAGTCGTCGTTGTCTGTGTCGTCGTCCCAAGACACGTTGGTTTCCGGACAATAACTTTAGTTTTAGTGAATGGATCTCTATGAAATTTTTTAAGAAGGTTCAATAATACAAAAGAAAAGTTGGGATTGATTTTGGGGATGATGGTCCCAACCGTTTAGGAATTAGGGGCCCAAAAGGGGCCCAAAACAAAAAAAATTCTAGTTTCAGGATAATAACTTGTGTATAAGTATTTCGATTGCTCTGAAATTGTACAACAATGTTTAATACCACAAGTAGAAGTTTGGGATTCATACTAGGGGTTATGGGGCAAACAGTTTAGGAATTAAGGGCCTAAAAGGGGCCAAAAAAAACAATTTTTGTAGTTTCCGGACAATAACTTGTGTGTAAGTGTATGGATCTCTCTGATATTGTACCATAAGGTTCCATATCACAAAGGAAAGGCTGGGATTGAGTTTGGGGATAATTGCCTCAAACATGTAGGAATTAGGGGCCAAAAAAGGGCCAAAAACATGCATTATTCTAGTTTCCAAACAATAACTTGTGTTAGATGTGTATGGATCTCTCTGAAATTGTGCTACAAGGTTCCATACTACAAAGGAAAGAATTGGATCGAGTCTTGGGGTAATTGCTCCAAGGGGGGATTCCAAAAGTCGCAGGGGGGGGGGGTTCCAATTTTTTTAAGGAATTCATATTTTTTTCACAAATTTTCAAATTTCAAATTTTGTAAAAGTTTCAAGAAGTAATCTTCAATTGCACAGTATTGCGCAATAGATTTGTAAGGTCTTTTACCACATTTATTTTGTGTCAGAAACCTATATTATGTCAAAAATGTTATCACAATCAAAATTCAGACAGTATCAAGCTTGAATATTATATCCAAATTTGCCCCAACTGTTTAGGGTTCAACCTCTGCGGTTGTATCAGGCTGCGCTCAGCAAAGCATTTTATTTATGAATGAGTTATATCACTTGGCTTCATTGAATAATATGTAATAACATAATCATTGTGATATTGGAAATGTACAGGAAAAGGCCTGAATTTGAAATTCGTTTATTATCCTAGCTGTAAAAGCTATAAATACTTTTAAGTATTTATTTTTATTTCGCTTGTTGCGAAAGTGGCAAGACTTAGATGTGCTGTTTTCAGCACCATTGGTGTTGTCAAATTTTATAGTTTGTGCTTAAGAAAATCATTTGGGAAAAAATTAACTCTTTCCGATGATTTTGTTGTGTATGGAAAATATAAAACAGTTATTTTTTCCCCTAAATGTCCTACCACATAGTAGTGAAAAAATTACATACTCTGGAGCCAAATTTCGGTAAAATGAAAATAGAAATATTAATTGTGATGAAATCAAACTTACTGATTTTAGGATTAATGGACCAAAATAATTTTAACTTTCAGACAAAGAATCAAACATTCCATTACTCGAAGACCAAGAGAGGAGGCATCACAGATTGTCTTCTTCATCAGGTGCAATTTTTTTAAACAGACCACAATTTGATCTCGGCCATGCTGACACAGTTCAGGATAATTTTGAACCTCAGTCTCCACTCCATCATAGCTTCCCAACTCTATTCACCAACTCAGAAGGCAACTTGACACAAATATAGTCTTAGTGATCAAATCTTGTGACTCGTGGATTTTGTCAAAATACATCATTGATCAAAATGTGAATTTTTATATGGATTTTTTTATACTGATTGTATATTATCTGTTTGGTTGTGTTTTTTTAAAAAGTGTATAGATAAATTTGTTAATGTTGAAAATGAAATGTGATATAATAGGATTTTATATATAGAGTATCTTAAAACCTGATAGACTATTGCTGATTTATTATATGAGTTGAAGTCATATAAATCATATTAGACTATAAAAAAGGATTTAAGGGCTTCCCATGTTTGTTTTCTCATAGTAATGAGATTATTTTACACATTTTTTTCTTATACAATGATAGGATTGATCCACATCAGTTCCATTAGATAAATAAATCAATATTGCAATTTGAAAATTTACCTCCCTATAAAAGTGAAAGCTGATGTATATTTTTATCTTTAAACCATCTTCATTCAATCTGTATCTCTCTCTATCTTTTTTTTTCCATTAATTTTTTATTTCTTTCTTCTCTTCTTTGATGTTTTCTATTTTCTTTTTAAAACTCCTTTCTAACACACTTATTGCCCTGTGACTCCCTTAACATGTAGGACAGACATTGTTCATTTATTAGAGCTTTTTTCCTAATGCTTGTAGTTAAAGGTTTGGTTGGCTTGCTTGCTTTGTTTGTATAAATGTTTACTCAAGCATTGTTATTAAGATTGACATCTGCAATCAATAGATAGGCAGGACTTCAGCTTGTATACATTATATATCATCCAATAACATTTACAAGTATAAAGTATACAAGCTGAAGCTCCACCTATGTATTGATTGCAGATGTCAATCTTAATTACAATGCTTGAGCAAACATTTATATAAACAAAGCAAGCAAGCCAACCAAAATTTTAAACTACAATCATTAAGAAAATAGCTCTAATTTTTATGTGTTGTTTATGCATTGTACTAGTTTCAGTTGTAATTAAAAACTTGTCCATTTTACATAAAGACTGTCATAATGGAAGGGATACAATATTATTGGAGCATTTTTTTAAGGTTTAGACAGATTCCTGTTGATTAGGATTAAAATTTTTCAAAAGGAGTTGGAGCAGTAAGGGTCATATTTGGCCCCAAATTAGGAGCAATTAAACTTAAAAATTTATCACCAGTTTTTAATTTAAATTTGTCCTCCTCACATGACTAAGGTTAGGAAGATGTTCGAAAAAAAAGAAAAAAAAAGAAGACAATTGTCACATTAGACAAGCTATTATGGCAAAAAAGTATGATGGAATAAGAATATTTTGTAAAATTTCTTGACTTCCCTTGTTTTGCATACAAAAGTATAAGGCAAATCTAGCTTAGAAATTACTTTATATTTCGTGGGACCATGTAAATAGTTAGAAAGCTTCTCTTAGATTATTCTGTTTTAATATGATTGTACATCCTTTTTCAAAAAAAAAATATTTGTTGAAAACTGCGTATATATGTTATCAGCTATTGGCAGATTTCAAGCAACTATTTCAAAAATTTCATTTATAAACAATTGAAACTATGGACCTGAAAAAGCATTGAGATGGTGCATTTCTGGTGTTCACTATAATTTTACATTATAGCATCCATGATTAAGGTGCTTTGTTAGCTTTTAATATATAATCCATGAAGTTTTAATCTGTTATTTGTTTTTTTATACTTGCCAATTTCACCCACTTTAAAAAAATTTAAGGGTAAATATTATTATTTATGCATATATTTGTAAATACTGATCTCAGTCAAATTCATCATAGAAACTTTGTCAGCTGCTGATCTAAAAAGGACATTGTGAAACATATTTAAATTTTTACCAGATGATACACAACACACTACATTTTTAACTGTTGGATATCTATATATATCCATACATTCATGTTGAGACCACTCTTTCTCTCTTTGCAAAATGTTAGACCCTATTATAATTTAGCATTATAATTCAGCTCCTAAAAAATTATACCTTGAGTACCCCGGTAATGAACCAGCTGATTATGATTGCTACTTTTTCAAATGGAAGTAATAGCTGTTTTGTAAAGGTGGTATTTGCTGTTGGCAAATGATCTTAAATGATGATTTTTATGGTGCATTTGAAAATTTAAAAAAAAAATGATTATAATTATTAAACTGATAAAAGATCACTATAATTTGTTGTGATATAAATCTGGCAAATAAAGATTTATTTGTACATATTACACTAATGCTTAACATGCAGATCATTTTATCTAGTTTATTATTTTTTAAACAATTGTAAGGTTTACTTATTAAATTCTGCATATTTATATTACTATGGATTCATTTATTTTTTCGTGGGAACTGATTTTCATAGATTGAGGAAAAGTTGCATTTTAGTGGATATTTGATTTGTGGTTTTAGCTAAGTCTGCTTACAAGCTTGTATGATATTAATACATGAACTTCATTGAACATTTATTTATAGTTTATTTATACCAACGAAAATCCACAAAATTCAATATCCGACAAATAATTATGAAGCCAGGGTCGTTTCTAATTTTTCATCTGCTTCCAACATTTTCAGCAAATTATCTACAGTTAGAACTACACTTCCTTTTGTGGCAACAATGAATTCTATTCCACTTAAGTCTTCGTTTATCTCGTCTTTGAGTGAATTAAGAATAGTAATATTTCACTTGACATCATCCTGTTTGTTTGGCGCTGGTAATACCTACCTTTTATGCCACTTAGTTGACATTTTAAAATCAGATTGCTATTGCAAAAAGGTTAAAAATATCTGAACATTATTAGTACCTCTGATTTTATTCAAATTTTGAGACTTTCAGCTGTGTATATATATTGTATATATTTTTTTTTTAAAGCACTCTTTTCTTAGAAAGACATTCCATTTAACTTATTGTGATATTGTCAATGACATTGATGCATATATTTTATAAGAGCATTTTATAACATTGTTAAGATTTACATAATGTCTTTCATTCATAATATTGTGGTTGGTGCTTGCACAAAGTCAGTGCATGAGTCTTTCATTAGTTCATTGATCTGTTTAGTTGCTATTTATTTTTAACACTTATTTTACAAGGAGTTCATGTAATTCTCATAGATGTTAAGGTCTACAGGTCATAATTAAAATAGCACTCAAATTTTCATATATATAAATATAGTTATAAAAAAAAAAATGTAAGTGTCATTTTTGAGAGATGTAATTTTGTATACCGTATAAAAAACTGTAACAAATTGTTTTGGTTTACATTTTTAAGACGGTTTACTCAGAGATATAGTGTTCCCAAAGTTTTTCTATGCTTGCCATTGAACAGCCTAGTTCTTATACGTAATCACATGGTAAATAACTGAGGGGAAAACAAGTTAAATCAAATTTATAAACATCAATTAAAAGAGTATGAATATAGAGTTGAATGTGTGTTGTAAAACAATTTAGTAGTTTTTATACAAAGATGTTAACCAATAAAACTTTTGTACACAAATCATGTTACACATGGGCATGTAAAAGCAATCTACAATAAATTTACTTTTAAAAAAAGAAACCAATATGTTTTCCTTTCCCAGTGGATATAACCAGTTTTGCAGCTGTCCTGAATATGCATGAAATATTTGCTACTGGACCTTCGATAAACGACAATCAATCAAGTTTGCAGAAGCTTTTATTCAATCATGAAAATGATAATGAAAATTATATTATACCATTGTTTTCTGACTAGTTTTTTTTTTCAATTCATTAATCCCATAAAAAAAAAGTAAATTAACACAAATATATATTTTATCGAGAACAAGTCAAATTGAATTTTGTCGTTATATTAATAATTTATATCAACAAATTTGTATAAAAAAGTTTTAAATGCAAAAGAGTTTCTGCAAAAATAAGTTAATTGATAGTATGTTCATACCAAAAATATAATGTTTTTATTATTCTTTTGCTTTATTTGATTGAGTAATTGTAAGTTCTATTCTTAGTTAAAACTTTGAACATTCACTAGAAATTCGGAATATTAGTGAGTTTTTTTTTGTGAAAATTGATAAAGAAATCAGCTTCCCAAAAGTAAAAAATTTGCATTTTCAATTTTCATAGCATTATTAAATTAAATGTATGCAGCATTAGCTAAAATCATTTTAATTTATTTCACATTTTTGCTCAATGTTCAACAATCACAATAATAGATAAATCAAATATTTCTAAATTTACTGTGATTGATATTCAAACTTTGAGATTAGCCCATGCTTGCAGTGACATAAATGTCAATAAGACCATGCATTCATCTAGAAGGTTGTGAATGTTAGATCAAACAAGTTTTTATACGACCGCAAAAAAATTTTGTGGTCGTATATTGGTATGACGTTGGGGTCGTCGTCGTCGTCGTCGTCCGAAGACACATTGGTTTTCGCACTCTAACTTTAGTTTAAGTGAATGGATCTTTTTGAAATTTGACCATAAGGTTAAATATCACAAAAGGAAGGTTGGGATTGATTTTGGGGGTTATGGTACCAACAGTCAAGGAATTAGGGGCCAAAAATAAGCATTTTCTAGTTTCCAGACAATAACTGTGCAACGGTGTATGGATCTCTCTGAAATTATACTACAAGTTTCCATACCACAAAGGGATGGTTAGGATTTGCTTTGGGGGGTTATGGCTCAAACCGTTTAGGAATTAGGGGCAAAAAAGGGGGAAAAACAAGGTTGTCCTGGTTAATGGACAAATACTTTAGTACAAAACATAATTTAAAGCAGTGTAAGGGAGATAAATCAAATTTATCATTGAAATTATCTCCCTTACACTGCTTTTAAATTATGTATAAAGTAATGGTTAATGAACAATAAAGATAATTTAAAACAGTGTAAGGGAGGTAATCCAAATACAATGTTTTGGTTACTTCCCTTACACTGCTTTTAAATTATGTTTAAAGAAATGTATATTTATAAAGGAAGACCAGTAAAAATATCTGCAAATGTTGCATCTTTTTTTTTTACAAAAAAATCCATTTGAAAGATTTGACACTATATTTTTTATTCTATTATAAAATAGATTAAGTTAGCACTATGGTAAATTTAAATGGGTAATTATGGTTGCCAACTCCATTGGAAATTTGAATTGAGATTATGACCATATCTTGAGGGAAAGAATTTTTTGGGGGAAAAAAGGTGGGAGGGGGGGGGATAAAAAGAAATTGTGGGGGGTCAATTTTTTCTCATTTCAGATTTCAGAAATTAAAAAGAATTATTCTTCAAATATTATTTTTTTTTCAAATTTCAAATATTGAAAAATTTCAAGAAGTAATCTTTAATTGCACAGTATGGCACATTAGATTTTAAAAATCTTTGATCACATTTATTTATTTGTTATGCCGAATCTAACAGAGTATTTAGATTTTTAATTTTGGGTCCAGTTTTCAAATTGGTCTACATTAAGGTCCAAAGGGTCCAAAATTAAACTTTGTTTGATTTTAGCAAAAATTGAATATATGAGGTTCTTTGATATGCTGAATCTAAACATGTATTTAGATTTTTGATTTTTGGCCCAGTTTTCAAGTTGGTCCAAATTGGGGTCCAAAATTAAACTTTGTTTAATTTCAATAAAAATTGAATATATGGGGTTCTTTGATATGCTGAATCTAACTATGTATTTAGATTTTCTATTTGTGGACCCCGTTATCAAATTGGTTCATATTGAGGTCAAAAGGGTCCAAAATTAAACTTTGTTTGATTTCATCTAAAATTGAATTATTGGGGTTCTTTGATATTCCAAATCTAACCGTGTATTTAGATTTTTAATTTTAAGTCCCGTTTTTTAAATTGGTCTACATTAAGGTCCAAAGGGTCCAAAATTAAACTTAGTTTGAATTTAGCAAAAATTGAATTCTTGGGGTTCTCTGATATGCTGAATCTAAACATGTGTTTAGATTTTTGATTATGGGCCCAGTTTTCAAGTTTGTCCAAGTTAGGGTCCAAAATTAAACTTTGTTTGATTTCAACAAAAATTGAATATATGGGGTTCTTTGATATGCTGAATCTAACCATGTATTTTGATTTTGGACATTGGACCATAATAGGTAAATTAAAAAAATTCAAGTTCTTAGACCACATTCTTTCTGTGTCAGAAACCTATGCTGTGTCAAATATTTAATAACAATCCAAATTCAGAGCTGTATCAAGCTATAATGTTGTGTCCATACTTGCCCCAACTGTTCAGGGTTCGACCTCTGCGGTCGTATCAAGCTGCGCCCCAGCGAAGCATTTTATTGTTACTGGTTCTACAAATGTTTATAGGACATAAATCTTGGTTGTGTCTAAAGTGTGTGAGTGAAAGTTATATGTATGATTGAATTGAGTATAGATATTTTAAACATTTGTGGAAATTTTTTTTCATCTTACCACATTTAGATGTACTTGTATTGAGGTATGTTTGTGGCATTTGTCAGTAGACACAATGCATTTCTTTTACCTAAATTTTGACTGATTCTTAGGAAATTAAAGATAACTATCCTTGGCAATACGAAAGCATGTAGTGGCCCAATCGTATTCTGAGCTTATAAAGGGCACTTGATTTGATATACAGCATTTATTTATCATCCTATTTAGATACAGGTTTATTCTTTTTTTCATTGTAAAAACTTGTAATTTTCATTAATATTCTCGAAATGAACTATGTTGGTCGATTTGAAATGGTCTCCATGGTTCCCAAAATGTTAAAGGACCATTCATGGGTCAACTTTGCTAGGCACACATTTTAATTGTTATGTGATGGAACAACTCTATTGAGATTATTATAGAAAATTTTAAGAAAAGTATTAGCATATTAAATGAGAATTGTGAAGTGAACAACCTTTAATTTTTTTTATGAGTTAATTTTACCATCAATTTATAGTAAGTTCTGCTTGAGCATTTTTGAATTTTGTATGTCATAATTTAAACAATATTGATAACTTGCAATGAAAATGTCTAACACATCTGGGACTAAAACATTTTTCTTTGGTCCCAGAACAGATAAATTCTGAAAAAATCCATTTGAACATAAAGCATGCTAGTTAACAGTGTGTGAGTGAAAGTTATATGTATGATTGAATTGAGTATAGATATTTTAAACATTTGTGGAAATTTTTTTTTATCTTACCACATTTAGATGTACTTGTATTGAGGTATGTTTGTGGCATTTGTTAGTAGACACAATGCATTTCTTTTACCTAAATTTTGACTGATTCTTAGGAAATTAAAGATAACTATCCTTGGCAATATGAAAGCATGTAGTGGCCCAATCGTATTCTGAGCTTATAAAGGGCACTTGATTTGATATACAGCATTTATTTATCATCCTATTTAGATACAGGTTTATTCTTTTTTTCATTGTAAAAACTTGTAATTTTCATTAATATTCTCGAAATGAACTATGTTGGTCGATTTGAAATGGTCTCCATGGTTCCCAAAATGTTAAAGGACCATTCATGGGTCAACTTTGCTAGGCACACATTTTAATTGTTATGTGATGGAACAACTCTATTGAGATTATTATAGAAAATTTTAAGAAAAGTATAAGCATATTAAATGAGAATTGGGAAGTGAACAACCTTTAATTTTTTTTATGAGTTAATTTTACCATCAATTTATAGTAAGTTCTGCTTGAGCATTTTTGAATTTTGTATGTCATAATTTAAACAATATTGATAACTTGCAATGAAAATGTCTAACACATCTGGGACTAAAACATTTTTCTTTGGTCCCAGAACAGATAAATTCTGAAAAAATCCATTTGAACATAAGGCATATTGAACAGTATTACAAAAAAAGAGATTTTAACAACAAACACAATATCTTATGGGGAAGGAAATGATCTGTACACAAAACTAATTGTCACTAGTTTGTAAATCATTGCTACTTTAGATTATGAGAACCGTTGGTATTTTATGCATATGTATCATTTAATTGTAATTTATTAAAATACTATTCTATTTCCGAGCCCTATTTTAAAATTAATGGTAGATTAAACCAAAAATAAAAATCTCTAAATATTTATCTTTCTACTAAGAAATGTTTTAAATGGCTTATGAATTAGTTAACTGAGATGTTAATGTCATAGGAAAGCGTTTATATGAAAAATGTATTTTTAACGTTTAAAACATTTCTTTTCAGCTGATATTGAATTTAGATATTACATATTAATAGCAAATAAAATGATATTGGAAAACAGGCTACACCTTTTTAAGCCTTCTCCACTTTTGTATTTCCATCAAGACTGCTGACAGTATATCTTTTGTATAAAATTTGGATTGAACTATGGAATAAGTCATGTACTGTATGAGATTTTATTTATGGCAATAAATTGTTACCATACTTTTTATACGACCGCAAAAAAATTTTGTGGTCGTATATTGGTATGACGTTGGCGTCGTCGTCGTCGTCGTCCGGTGTCGTCGTCCGAATACACATTGGTTTTCGCACTCTAACTTTAGTTTAAGTGAATGGATCTTTTTGAAATTTGACCATAAGGTTAAATACCACAAAAGGAAGGTTGGGATTGATTTTGGGGGTTATGGTACCAACAGTTAAGGAATTAGGGGCCAAAAAGGGGCCAAAAATAAGCATTTTCTAGTTTCCAGACAATAACTGTGGAACGGTGTATGGATCTCTCTGAAATTATACTACAAGTTTCCATACCACAAAGGGATGGTTAGGATTTGCTTTGGGGGGTTATGGCTCAAACCGTTTAGGAATTAGGGGCAAAAAAGGGGGAAAAACAAGGTTGTCCTGGTTAATGGACAAATACTTTAGTACAAAACATAATTTAAAGCAGTGTAAGGGAGATAAATCAAATACATCATTGAAATTATCTCCCTTACACTGCTTTTGAATTATGTATAAAGTAATGGTTAATGAACAATAAAGATAAATTAAAACAGTGTAAGGGAGGTAATCCAAATACAACGTTTTGGTTACTTCCCTTACACTGCTTTTAAATTATGTTTAAAGAAATGCATAATTATAAAGGAAGACCAGTAAAAATATCTGCAAATGTTGCATCTTTTTTTTTACAAAAAAATCCATATGAAAGATTTGACACTATATTTTTAATTCTATTATAAAATAGATTAAGTTAGCACTATGGTAAATTTAAATGGGTAATTATGGTTGCCAACTCCATTGGAAATTTGAATTGAGATTTTGACCATATCTTGAGGGAAAGAATTTTTTGGGGGAAAAAATTGGGGGGGGGGGGATAAAAAGAAATTGTGGGGGGTCAATTTTTTCTCATTTCAGATTTCAGAAATTAAAAAGAATTATTCTTCAAATATTATTTTTTTTTCAAATTTCAAATATTGAAAAATTTCAAGAAGTAATCTTTAATTGCACAGTATGGCGCATTAGATTTGTAAAATCTTTGATCACATTTATTTATTTGTTATGCCGAATCTAACAGTGTATTTAGATTTTTAATTTTGGGTCCAGTTTTCAAATTGGTCTACATTAAGGTCCAAAGGGTCCAAAATTAAACTTTGTTTGATTTTAGCAAAAATTGAATATATGGGGTTCTTTGATATGCTGAATCTAAACATGTATTTAGATTTTTGATTTTTGGCCCAGTTTTCAAGTTGGTCCAAATTGGGGTCCAAAATTAAACTTTGTTTGATTTCAACAAAAATTGAATATATGGGGTTCTTTGATATGCTGAATCTAACCATGTATTTAGATTTTTTATTTGTGGACCCCGTTATCAAATTGGTTCATATTGAGGTCAAAAGGGTCCAAAATTAAACTTTGTTTGATTTCATCTAAAATTGAATTATTAGGGTTCTTTGATATTCCAAATCTAACCATGTATTTAGATTTTTTAATTTTGGGTCCTGTTTTTTAAATTGGTCTACATTAAGGTCCAAAGGGTCCAAAATTAAACTTAGTTTGATTTTAACAAAAATTGAATTCTTGGGGTTCTTTGATATGCTGAATCTAAACATGTGTTTAGATTTTTGATTATGGGCCCAGTTTTCAAGTTGGTCCAAGATAGGGTCCAGTATTTAAACTTTGTTTGATTTCAACAAAAATTGAATATATGGGGTTCTTTGATATGCTGAATCTAAACATGTATTTAGATTTTTGATTATGGGCCCAGTTTTCAAGTTGGTCCAAATTGGGGTCCAAAATTAAACTTTGTTTGATTTCATCAAAAATTGAATTATTGGGGTTCTTTGATATGCCAAATCTAACCGTGTTTTTAGATTTTTAATTTGGGTCCCGTTTTTTTTAAATTGGTCTTCATTGAGGTCCAAAGGGTCCAAAATTAAACTTAGTTTGATTTTAACAAAAATTGAATTCTTGGGGTTCTGTGATATGCTGAATCTAAACATGTGTTTAGATTTTTGATTATGGGCCCAGTTTTCAAGTTGGACCAAGTTGGGGTCCAAAATTAAACTTTTTTTGATTTCAACAAAAATTGAATATATGGGGTTCTTTGATATGCTGAATCTAACCATGAATTTAGATTTTTTATTTGTGGGCCCCGCTATCAAATTGGTTCATATTGAGGTCAAAAGGGTCCAAAATTAAACTTTGTTTGATTTCATCAAAAATTGAATTATTGGGGTTCTTTGATATTCCAAATCTAACCGTGTATTTAGATTTTTAATTTTAAGTCCCGTTTTTTAAATTGGTCTACATTAAGGTCCAAAGGGTCCAAAATTAAACATAGTTTGATTTTAGCAAAAATTGAATTCTTGGGGTTCTTTGATATGCTGAATCTAAACATGTGTTTAGATTTTTGATTATGGGCCAAGTTTTCAAGTTTGTCCAAGTTGGGGTCCAAAATTAAACTTTGTTTGATTTTAACAAAAATTGAATATATGGGGTTCTTTGATATGCTGAATCTAACCATGAATTTAGATTTTTTATTTGTGGGCCCCGCTATCAAATTGGTTCATATTGAGGTCAAAAGGGTCCAAAATTAAACTTTGTTTGATTTCATCAAAAATTGAATTATTGGGGTTCTTTGATATTCCAAATCTAACCGTGTATTTAGATTTTTAATTTTAAGTCCCGTTTTTTAAATTGGTCTACATTAAGGTCCAAAGGGTCCAAAATTAAACATAGTTTGATTTTAGCAAAAATTGAATTCTTGGGGTTCTTTGATATGCTGAATCTAAACATGTGTTTAGATTTTTGATTATGGGCCAAGTTTTCAAGTTTGTCCAAGTTGGGGTCCAAAATTAAACTTTGTTTGATTTTAACAAAAATTGAATATATGGGGTTCTTTGATATGCTGAATCTAACCATGTATTTTGATTTTGGACATTGGACCATAATAGGTAAATTAAAAAAATTCAAGTTCTTAGACCACATTCTTTCTGTGTCAGAAACCTATGCTGTGTCAAATATTTAATAACAATCCAAATTCAGAGCTGTATCAAGCTTGAATGTTGTGTCCATACTTGCCCCAACTGTTCAGGGTTCGACCTCTGCGGTCGTATCAAGCTGCGCCCCAGCGAAGCATTTTATTATATAGATTTGTTTGAATATTAAAGCAGACATTTGCATGGCAGCAACATACTATGAAAATGTCTGGTCTATCACTCAGTTAAAAGTTACTTATATATCTCTGTGTTACTGTCTATTCATATTTCACCACGGAAAAAAATACCAAATACCAGTGGAGAAGATTAAAATTCTGCCATCTTAAATATTTCTGTTGTAGATGGACTTTATAAAAATAAGAAGATGTGGTTAAATTGTCTATGAGACAACTCTCTACCAGCGACCAAATGACATGTAAGTGATAGCAACTAAAGGTTACCATAAGGCCTTCAACAATGAGCAAAATCCATACCACACAGCAAGCTATAAAAGGTATAAAATATGTTTAAATATCAATTTAGATATTCCTTTTTCCTACATAACTAGCAGAGGCACACATTACACTTATCCATCTCTGTGCATGAATGTTCATATTTTATATTGTCAGTACACTTAACTTTATTATTGTTACTGCCATCAACAATCAATTCTTTAAAAGAAATTAAATCGTATATATAAACAGAGACACCTACTGAGGAGGTTCCTTTCTTGGAACAGGTACTTCAATTTTACTTGTGGCTTAATAAAACTATGTTTAGCACCCAGTCCCATCCTTAATTTATCTCAATCAGAAAAAATACAAAAGATAAAGTGAATGCTAGTTAACAGTAATTAAAAGCAAGCTTAAAGTATTTTAAACTACTGATATAGAATGCACAGCTTCTTGCACACACATATATCTGCACCTGTACATCCAGGAAGATTTCATACAGCCACTATGGAATTATGCCAATTAGTGTATAAGATGATATAGATTATTCCTTATATAAATATTGACTAGTTATGATTAGTAATTTCTTAGATTAAAGCCAAAATTGGTGTAGCGTGGGAACATCCATACTTACCTATTAATATAAGCGTTATAATATCTAATAGTTATATTTTATATATTGATTAGTTCCCTATTCCAGCTTTTCTAAAAGCTATTACTTTCCTGTATTATGGAAGCTTGATTTCTATGGAATGTAGAGATTATGTAGTTATAATGGAGTTGCTATGAAGAATTTCCTATTATGATAGTTGATCCAAACACGGAGCCACAGAAGTATTCAATTGTTTCAAGCTAAATGCTTGGTATAGCGTGGAGTCATCCACACTTACCTAGGAGGGTGATTGTCAAGACCGGTACTAGATGCTTTGGAGATATATTCCTGATGTGATTATTGATTTGTATCCTGTTCCAGCTTTTTCAGAAGCTACTATCTATATACAGTTGCAGAAGTACTATATTGCCTAAATATATATTAGTTAGATTATCCTTGTCCTTATAGTAGCTTAAAGCCAAAGTTGGTATAGCGTGGGAGCATCCACACTTACCTATTAATATAAGTGTTATAATATCTAATAGAAATTACTATCTCTCCATAGACAACAGACCTAGTAGCTTCTTAATCCAGATTCTTACCAAACATTCCGCTCAGCTATATTACACACTCTTACGTGTTAAGTGTGGATGTTCTCACACTAAACCAATACAACCAACATACTCTCTATAACGGACTGAACTTCATTCTTTTCTAGTGGTCAGCGTGGATGTTCCCACGCTATACCAATTCTAACCTAACTCCATTGTTCACATAAGGACAACACTTCTGTAAAACACTTCATCATGGCAACTTTAAGGCCAACAAGAGACAGAATACCGACACAAGTATTTACACCATCAAAAGTCAACGTGTCAGTCAAAAACTACTTACTGAATGATCAAAAAGCTGTTGAAAAAATATCAGATGCAACCAGCCGATCTTCTGATGTAAATTTACAATACAAACATGGCAATATAATTTTGGAATTTAGTGCTGCATTCTATCTTCACTTCAGCAAAATCTTAGTCCAGCATTTGAACACCAACACCAAGGTTACTTGTAACATTCATGAAAAACAAGACCAGACAGGAAAGGTGGTAGATCAATCTATATCAGTCAAATGTTGTCAAAACTAACGTCAACAATATAGAATAAACTTGTACAACCCAACGTGTAGAGCAGAGGTCAATGGTCGTAATCATAGAGCATTTTTGACGAACTCCAAGACATATGCAAACAAATGGATAATAACAAAGACTATTCTTCTATCAACCAACAAATTAGAGAAGAATGTGCCAAGCATCAGAGAACATTCTCAAAGAAGCCGGAACCCAAAGCGATAACCAATCAACTGACTTATCCTTGGCCAAAAATCAAACCAGAATACAGTCAACACAAACAAACAATCGCTTGATGATAACTGTCCAAAATGCAAAAGAAAACTATTATCTAGGGGAGTATTTTGTATCAAAGGAAACAATTGGATCCACTATGCCTGTGAGAAGCTAACTAAAGCAGAAATAGAAAAACTTGAAAGTGACGAAAACAACATCCAGTACATCTGTACTATATGTTGTGAGGTTGACTCTACTTCATCAGAGATTACTGACATGCAACAACATCTCCCAAAGAATAGGAAAAATGGAAATAACCAAACCACTG